CCAGGAACATTGCATGCGCGGACCTCCTTTGAATCCTGCCTCAGGGCGTTCCTCCAAACCTGGCATTCCCTGCCATGCGTCGAATGCATGAAGCTGCGCAGCTTCTCTTGTTTCAGAGCTTCCTCACGGGTGCTCACACGAGCTGCCAATGAATATGATGTGCATTGATTATTGTGCCCGATCTATGAATATCATAACGCACCCGCCACTATCGAGCTCCTGACTGACGTATATGTAGCACGTGCAAAACGCCAGATGCAGCAACAACACGTCCCAGTTTGCACGCAACCGCTTGCCCAAATACCCAAATAATGCGGCATAACTATAGTTTGCAGATGCAGACTAGAACTCAGACTGGATGTTGGGTGCCAGCCAGGCAAGATGTGCAAAACAGGAACTGACATGCACAACAAACTATTGCAACTAGTTTCACTGCGCTTGATAACGAAAACAAGATCGGTGTAAGCTGTAGACGACAACAACACAATATGAGCATGGGCAGTCGGAGAATACCATGATGTCAATGGAAAATGTCCATGTGAGCACCTGTTGCACTCGTCAATGATCGCGAACAATGGAACAACAGCTGCCGGTCCTTGAGCTCTTCGAGGCTGATCACACCCATGCCATCCTTGGAGACATGTGAAACATCGGCCGCCGGCAAGAAGGAATTGGGGCATCGGCGTGGCGGCAGAAGATTCCGTCCAATCAAAGCATGGCTAAGTCTGAAATCAAGGAGTGTTGGCGGAGCCCGCAGCCGGAACCCGCGATCCAGATTCGAAGCCACAGCAAGATGACATTCAAAACGAAAGAACACCGACTAATGAAGTGCGGGATTCGGGGTTGATCTCCTCAAATACGCCCCGCAGAGCATCAACCTGTGCCTGCTGCAAGCAGCTTGCATGTTCGGGGACTCCGATCAACAGTGACTGCGTGTTTGGAGCGGAACCAACTAGATCGTGGGAAACAAGTTGGCAGGTATCACGAAATCTTTGGCCCAGGGCTCGAGGAATATGTGTGCATGTCGTATCTCCGGGGGGAGATGCAACACATGTTCAGCATGGTACTACATATCGCAAGGCCTCATGTTTCTGCATTTGACGCATCGTTGCCATGTCCTGCCAAAATACAGCGGATCCAATTTCAAGGCATGCCTGTCACCGCCTGTCAATGTGCAGGACCCCATAATCTGTTTGGCTACCGACTCGCATGTGCAAGGGTGAACCATTGCCGCGACATCGGCAATATGCTGCGAATCATGCTGACATGTTCACACCGGCTCAAGTCCTTGTCTGCCCGGGCAGACTCTATGGCCATATTGCAGAAAACACCAGTCACCTTAGCACATCTAACTAACAAACAAACTAACTAACTTTGTTCCGGTGCCGGCAGCCCCCAAATGGACAAGACACCACTGTGAGCCCCTCATAACAAAGGGAGGGGCAAGCATATGACATGAGAGCGGAAGCGCAGCCTAACAGCAAAACGCTTACAACACTATTCAGCTCATGTACTCACCCATCGAGAAAACAAAGCAACCAAACAAAAGACAACGAACTACGGCCGCTGCTCATACACTCCAGACGGAGGAGCCTCGGTGGATAAGGAAAGAGCCTTTAAAAACAAGCAAAAGCCTCAACCCACGCACACCAAACACGGAGGATTCTGGGTGGGCGAGAAAGAAGCCTTATAAAACAACCAAGCAAGCACAACCAAAGCAGCCAACCTAACATCCCCATCTACCACACCACAGGTACTCCTGAACCTGCGCGAGTTAGGGAGGGAAGGACCAAGTGCGACTCGCTCTCTCTCCCCCAACTCCAACGCCGAAGAAGACTGCAGCGCGGAATCGGGGGGCGAGAGTTAAGGACGGGACTAGCACGACAATCCCAACACATGTAAGCATGTGAGGAGAAAAGTTGTAACCGATGCCATCTTAGCTGGTAATCACCAAACCCAACATATGCAGGTTCGATTTTGTGCTGGCAACCCGCAAATCACATGCTCATTGTCAGCATTAATTAAGGAATCATGCACGATTGTGTTGTTCTCAACTTGATGTTGCTACTTGCTTTGAAAATGCCGCCGCAACTGCGGAGCACAACAGTCGGACTCGTCTACTTTCGTTACTTGTTTTCAGCACATCCGCCGAAACTGAATTCAACGTTGTGCTGCCATTCAGCTTATAACTGCCAACTCCAACCCTCCCGCCCGCCAGCCCGCGCGCCACACGCGCACACACAGAACATATGCATACGCACACAAGCACCAACAAACACATGCTTGCAGACCAGTCATCCTTAATTTAATGGATTCTGTTTGTGTTCGATTGTTGCAACTTCCGGCAAGGACGCTGTACACCGGCTTGCCCGTGGAAGTCTTCGTTGACCATTGCGCCCGCAACCCCCGGAGGTTCCCTGCTTTTTGGTAAGATCTTACGTCCTAAACCCGACGTCCTCAATCCTTAGGTACAGGAGGTGCGCACACACATGAAGTTCCGGGTCTGAGCTGGTCAACAGCACTCTTTGGTCTCCTTCCTTGATCATTGTCGCCATTGTCGTCGTCATGATCTAACTGATCTATAAACTTAGAGCTATTGGGCCTGTCGGATCCATGTTAATGAACTGCACTGTGCCAACGACATGTAGATGCGATAAAAGCCCTCAGTTCTTCATAAGTATTATTGTCGGAACTCCAGGCTGAAGATCTTTAGTCGAGCGATGGTGAAGCTTGCAGGTACGTGGTTCCAACGTCCCACAACCATATCAGCACACTCTGACGAGCCTCTTTGTTAGATGCCCACTCTTCTGGTGTGGGGCATCCCTCTGCATGTAAACTTTGTACCAATCTCATCTTCGTGGATCACTCAACTTAGACGTTCATGCAAATTCAGCCTAGGCGGAGAACTTGCAGAGACTTTCCAGAACTCCCTTAGGTACAGATCCTCCACACACACGCACATCTGGACAAGCCGGTAAAGTTCAAAAATGCATTGGACCGCAGCACATGATGCACATTGAATCAAGTGCTCGTGCAAGCAAAATGCGCAATCCGTTGCAGACACAAGGAACAGTCCCTTGCAAACGCTTAGATGGTGTATCAAAACACAACAACAACGACGCCGACGGACACGAACAGCCACATCAAAACACCACGACGACGACGACCGAACGGCATAAAAGCCAAAATCACAAGAACTGTAGGTACAGCATGCGCAGCAAGGACCACGACGAACGAACAGCAACACGACGACGACGACGACTGACCGAAGAAAACAGCCATGGCAATACAACAGGCCTTTGCACTCAATCATGTGATGTCTGAAAGAGCATGACCATCTTCTCGCTTTTACTGAACGAAGTACAACCGGCACTGACTTAGCCACGGCGAAGGACAAAAAACAAGCTGGAACAAGAATGGATAGATGACAAGGATGTGTTTGTGTAGCTACTCCTTAGCTCCGGCAAGCTGGGGTCCTCCATGGAGCTTTCCTGCCAAGCGCGTAGTCTTTCAGAGAACGACAGACGACGGTTATGTTGGGAGGTCCAGACCTTGTGGAGGTTGCAAGGTATTGAGGCTCGTGCACCAGGATCGTCAGATGTATTCAGCGTCAGAAGTATTCAGCTACGCTTGGCAGGAGGAGTCCGACAGCGCTGTGGCAGCATTACTGTCGGGAAGCACACTTGCAGACCAGTCATCCTTTCTTACATGGATGCTGTTTGTGCTAGCTTGTTACATCTTCCAGCAGGTACGTTTACACCGGCTTGCCCGAAACAGCTCGTTTTCTCGGCCTAGATCTTGCGTCCTAAATCCTACGTCCGAAATCCTCTGGTGCAGGATGTGCACACACACACAACACGCACAAGCACACACGCACACACACACACGCACACACACACACACGCACACACGCACACACACACACACACGCACACACACACACACACACACGCATAGGCAGAAACACCCAACCAAACTGACATGAGTCATAACGTGATGATGGTTCTGTTGAACAACAGGCGCCACGAGTCGCATGCCGCAAGTGTCGCACCCTCGCCTGTAAAGGCGCGAGAGAAGGGTTGAATACGGTTAGATTACTTACACAGAGCTAAACAAAGTCAACGTGAGATGTGGGTCGGCACAAGCAGCCAAACGGACATTGAGTCGACGGAAGCAAACACCGACAAACACAAGACGAAGGGCATGGACAAACGAATTGAATCGCGAGCAGGTTTGCCGACAAACATCGGGGAAAGAGATGGAGATGTGGAGGGCTGGGCAACCAAACACACGATCGGACAGTCAACGCTCGGTCGACAGAACACACACACACACACACACCCATCACACACAGACACACACGCTCACAAACACACCTAAACACACACACACACACATAAACACACACACACACACACATAAACGCACATAACCACAAATACGCGGACAAGCAGCCACGCATAGAACAAGATCAAACACAGGACAATAGACACGTGCAAGTACACACACGCACACAAACACAGATGCCCACGCGCACACAGAGACAAATACATACCCTCCCCACCTTCTCAAAAAAGTGTGTCAGTCTGTGTCTCTGACACGACGCACAACACGCTGGCGGCTTTGGTTTACGTACGACATATGTCGAGAATTATCTGTCTTGTGCGCCTTCAGAGGGCTAATGTAGGATAACTAGAAGAGGGTTTTGAGGGCTCCGTATTATAGTCATATAGTATATAATATACTCCCAAACCCTATACTCTAATTATTGAGGCCCCTATATTACCCAGATCGTGCAACCAACCCAACACGTCTAGGCTCCGACACGAAAGTAGCCTAAGCCCTAGCTACGCGAGTGCAGCTTCCCTCTTGTCAGCAAGTTTCTTCATGAACTTAATGCCTGCTTAAGTGTTGGTCGTTGATTCAAGTCAAAGCTGTTTCAAGAAGCACATTCAAGAACGGCTGTGCAATCAGGGACGACTGTCTGCTGAGGCCGCCACTGTGTTTAATACTGCGAACACCGTGATTACGATGTACACGATTAGACTTATGATGGCCACGCGGGAGACGTCCCAAAGGGGCTGCAGGCAGTCATCCCAGCTGATACCGTTCGTGATGGACAGGAACAGTGTCAACATGGCCTGCGGGACGCTGGACCAAAACCTTATCAGCTCTGGGTCGCATTTCTGCGGAACTTCAGCATGTGTTAGAGCTCTGCAGTGATCCGTGGCAATCTGCGTGTTGAGGACGCCAAACAGGTAGAAAAGGATCACAAGCAACAACGATGTCCAGAAAACGGATCCCATGGTGCTGACAATGGAAAAGACGATGGTGCGCAGGGCACTGAGGTACCTGGGCCGCTGTGAAACGACACCCAACGCGCTTCAGCAGCATCAGCAAAACAAACACCCTGCAAAGAAGACTGTGTACTGGCAGGGAATCCAAAGCACTGCAGCAAGCGCAGCACCCGCACTCCGCGCAGCGCGCGTGCCATTCGAAGGAAACCTCACTGTTGTGTTTAGGTGGCGATGCCGATGTTAGTGGTTCATAGCGGTTCTCGTGCTCTGCGCTGCTCATTAGCAAAGGAAGAGGAAAGGGGAGGAGTGGTTGACGTGCTGCTCCTGATGCGAGCAGCTGACTCTGCGGTGCTGCTGCTGATGATGATGATGTTGCTGATGACGAACCAGGAAGTCGACTGATTGTCGTGACCACAAGAAGTCAGTCCTGCTCAGGTCAATGGCGGCGATGATGGTGGTGGTGATGATGCTGGTGGTGGTGGTGATGGTGATGGAAACGGTGATGGTGATGGCGATGAAGATGATGATGGTGATAATGACGATGATGGTGGTGATGATGATGATGATGATGGTGATGAAGAAGTAGAAGATGGCGATCATGAGGAGGAGACGGCGGAAGAGGAGGAGGGTGTCGGTGTCGTTGATGCTGGCACAGGATGTACTCGGAAGGATAGAGCACGAGTTGCTCGCTTTTCCATATCTTTTGGCTACTTTAGGATTGTCGCAGTCGCTGTCGCCATGGTATTGGTTTCGCTGATGGTCCGATCGCGAGGCTGGCAGCAGTGGTTTCCGCAGGCCTGGTGGATTCTTAGCAGTCATCGGCTGTGTGGTCGATTGCTACACTTCGTAAAGGTATTCCGCAAAACGGACAACCAGAAAATCGGTCACATGCCAGCTCGGGACAGGTTGAAGGACTCTTCCACACCGAGGCATGGAAGCCCAAACCCCAAAGTCACCCATACCACTAAGCCAAACCACAAAGCCGGCAACAACAACTCCAAACTGCCCATAGACTTCCCGAAGAATGCACAGGATCGAGAGGCGCATCGTGCGGAGCTGTGTCGGATCCATTTGCGCGGCAAACCTCAGGATTCTGCAGCATGTGGCGAACTTCGTGAACCCTTCGCAACAAGCCCTCGCCTGCCTACTTTAGTGCGTGTGACTGAGTGCAAAACTCTGCGTGTTTGTGTTTCGGCGACATCTTGTGCACCCAACATATAAAGCACAATAGGGGGGCGAAGGACGTTATTCGCTACTTTACAGCAAAATTTACGTACGCAGGAAAAAGTCGAGAGCTGTTTTCGAAGAAATTCTGTCGGGTGAGACTCTGCTGTAGCTGGGACCCGCAATTCAAGAGCCAGTGCGAAACTGGACTAGCTTACACATGGCTGTGGAGAGGCTGTTGATTGTCTTACTCCTGCTCATTATGGGTTCAATTACACAGGCGCGCGGCTTCTGTCCATCCAGAATGTAGCTGCCAAGATGCACGGCTGAAGCCATTGCTTCCGCCACAATCTCGAAGACAGACATCAAGAATATCACCAGGTCCTGACTGATTCACAGGTGGATCTTGGACGAACTCAGGAAGCGTTTGGGACGAAGCATCTGACAGCAGCTCTGTTGTTTTGGGTATTGGGGGCAGCCAGGGGGTCTCTGCACTTTGGGCACAGGGAGTACCGAGGGTATCCAAGACCTCCTCCCTCCACGAAAGATGCGTCGGAGCGGCTGACCAGTTCCACCACCGGTCTTTCCCAAAGTACATCGTCTTGCCTAGAGAAAGAATGGGGACCAGACAGGCTAAGTAAGGTTCTTTCGACCTGCAAAACGGAAGGCAGTCAAATTGTCAAAGGAACCCCAGTCAGGAGCACGACGTAATGCTGCGACCCCACGGCTACAGCAACACTGGAGGAGCTTCGGCATCATTGAGAGGCGGGTGAAGCTCTGTCTCGACGACATGTGTATAGCTGCATGCACGCATGCGTGTGAGGACATGTTTTGTGTGCACAAACATGTCGGTATGCCGGCATGCACAACCCGCATGGCCAATGCTGCGATTGTCGCAAGTATGACAACTGTGTCACCGACCTGATGTATTGAATGTATTGGAGCAATCTTCGGAAATCCTAAAACTTCAAGCTCTTAAGTGCAGAGCAAGCGGCAGCCATACGCATGCAGCTTGAGGAGGATCTCACCGAAGAAGAAAGTCACGATGACAAAGTTCCTGAGAATGTCACTGTAGGCTGTGGGGCGGCTGCTGCTGCTACCGACAACAACAACAACTACAACTACAACTGCAATTACACCTACTGCTACCACGACGACGATTACTGCGCCACCACCGCCGCCACGAAGACGACTGCACGACGACGAAGACGACGACTACTACCGCCAAGACTAGCCCAGGCTCGGAAAGCAGTGCGAGCTCCGCACATATGTGCCGTTACAGTTTCGAACATTACTCAGATGCGATGAGTTCAATCCAGCACTGCGCTTTATGCATGCAAGACAAAATGATTCAGAACAGCCTGATAAGATATGTCATGCAAGCTGGCCGCACAATGATTGATGGGATGTCTAGACCTTTGGAACCTAGGCAATCATGCAGGGCATGTTAGCATTTCCAAGCTTTGGTGTCTTCGACATCAGCGTCCTCACACTTCTCCCATGAATCCGCACTTTTTCAAATCCCAGGTGCGCAACCTGAAATGACTGGATTTGGACATTGGGTGGCAGCTCCGCAGACATATCCACCTGAGCGGGATCTCAGAGTTTCGGGTTCCACCCTGCCGTCTCGAAGACCGCGGGCGTACACGTTGTACGTACATATCCACGGAGAGTCTTGTCCGTATACTACTCCCCTCGACCTCGTTTTATGGACACAGATCATGCTTGGGGTTCGAGTGCGATGCGAAAGTCTTGACGCCTGAAAGGCGTACGAGTAGAGTAGCGGAAAAGGGATAGTTGCCTCCTCTGCCTCCTTGAAGAGCTCACATTTCCGACATGTTCAAGGGTCCATGGTCTGTTGGCTCAGTGTTGCTGAAGTTCTGTGGCCTCAGAGCATGCCATGTTTGGACTTACAAGTATCGGAACAAATCTCATGACGTATTGCGATGTCATGAATCTGGTCCCTCTGCCCTGGAAACATCGTGATGGACAGAAGCTCGCAGGCTTCAACCTACCCGTCGCCACTGGGAAGACCGAGACGTCCGGAAGCGTGATAACAAGAGAAAGGCCGAAGGAGGGCTTCGCGGGGCACCTCGACGCCCAGAAGTATCAGGTTCGTGAGGATGACAATGGGAACGCCCGCCTGCAGTGGACTCATGTTAGACTGACGAAGGCCTCGTGCTAGGTAGGGGCTGATAGAACAGAAAACATCCCGTCTCGACGGGCTCTAGTTCCAATACTTCCAAGGCCATGGCCAAAGCCAGCCTTCACATTCGGAAGCCTGAAAGAAGAAGTCTAATCTGAAATTGATTAGAACTTCTGCCTTCGTTGGCCTTCATACCAGAATCCAAACGAAAACCCTTTTACTCGCTTTCCTCGCGGTATACCTCCGAGGCCATGGAATCTCTAATCAACCGCAGGAACCATGGCGACTCGTTTATCAGACAGGGAACGCGGAATGCGGATGACCGAACTGTTCGCAGCGACCAAGACTGAGAGTTCGCATCATCCATGTCGCCTGGCGGGCTTTGGGATGTCTTGTGTCATGTCACCAAGGAGAACCCTATGATCTGATTCATGAAACCTTCTCAGGAAGGTGAGGTTTTGAGATCTGTGGACTCGTCGTACCCACATTGAAGAGCCGTATCTGGAAGCACCAAATTCGGCCGAGGTCTACGCAAGCGCAAACTCGTTCCATTGCTAGACACACAAGACCTTCACGTTTAGAGTATGCTGTAGAAACTTGAAGCCTAGGGCCGACGGCACCATCCCTTACAGCAATTTGTCGCCACGGATAATGCTGGTAGCAGTCTGACTACCCGGTCCGACCACCCGGCCACTACCTCCACTACAACGACGTCCAGTTTTGGTACCCATGTCGCTTGCAACAGACGCTACAAAGCAAGCGTTGCTCATCGAGGATCAGGTCTCCTCTTCTTCGGATGCTGATGTCATCCCTGCATCGAAGTTGCATTCCTCGAAGCCCCTCACTAGTATCGCTAGTGCTAGATGGCCGTCAACTCCGCATAGTATGACCCTTTTGCTCTATGGTGGAGCAGCTTCAGGGTACAGAAGACCTTGCTTGGTTGGATAGAGTGATTGTCTTTGACCTATCCAAATGGGGGTTTCCGAAAATAGGGGACCCTAACATAGCACCTTAAATAGTAGGATCCCTATTATAAGGACCCCAAAATAAGGTACTCCTTATTTTCAGAAAGTCCCAAATCCACCGTGGCAAACCTGGATCCTCCAAAAGACTTTCGAGGCCAACCCGACAGAAAGCAACCTTGTGGTAAGCTCACAGGAGTTCTTGTGGTAACACTTTATAGGAGCCCCTGTAGTAACCCTTATTTGAGTCCTTGTTGTAAACGCTAAAGGATCCGAATAGTAACCCGCATCGGCCTACCAAGCCCAAAGAGGAATTTCCCCTGGGATGGGATCGGCGTGATCTTTTGTGGTTTCTCGTGAGAACACACGGGACAATGGGTTCGAGGGGCCCTACAGTATCCTGTGGGGCTTCGGGGTGCAGGTTTCATTTCTTGCTTGGTGCTGTTAGTCTATTGTTTGTCAGACACCGTACTAGGTGTGCGGTGGCTCACGTCATGTTGAGCGGTGTTTGTCTTAGGCGCAGTGCGTGGGAGCGGCTGCAACGCAAAGACGGCTCATGCAAGCATAAAAGCAAAGTCTGGCATTGCAATTCAGGCGGTATATTGTGGGATTAGGTACGGTCCTGAAGCCTGGAGCGCCTGAGCCAGCAGCATTGGTACCTCGGAACCCTTGCGGTTCTTAAGAACCTCAACGCAAAAGAGGCCACTTGAGTCGGTGCCAGCACAGCACATCAAAGACAGCTTTCAGCCACCCGCAAATAACATCTAAGGGCTTCGAAGTCCTTGTGCACTTGCTCTCACGTTTTCTCGATATTGGACCTGCTTTTGACTCTACTCCTTAAAGATTGAGTGGAATTATGAACATATCAATACCCTAACGCTGCTCATCGAGACTGACCGCGGCCACATGAACCCAGATACCCACGGAGCTGAGAGATCTTCTTCGCAGCCGCTTGGGCCTTCAAAGGCGTCTAAGCCAAAGGACTGAGCTGAAGAGCTGTAAACTGTTCTCTTCATACACTTTGGCACTTGCATGTGATCTGGGTATGGAAAAAATCGTCTTGTCGCGGCAGAGTACCGGCACAAACTGGAAGGACTTTAAGACTTTCCCATAGGCCCTAAAGTAGTTCCTTTTGGGGGTTCATATATAGAATCCTATAAGGTAACTCCAAAAAGGATCTACTATGGGGCCTATGGGTTAAGCTTGCTTCGAGGAGTAGGCTTTGGGCACCAGCTTTCGACTTCTGCTCTGCAAGACGCACCAACGACCATCGTTAAGACCTCTGGCTTCTGTGAATTGACCAACGGCTTGCAGCACACAGCGGGCCACGGGAGGATCAGATCTCTTGGCTTGGGGTTGAAGCTTCGGCTTTCGTTTCTCAGCTTTTTTGGGTCAAGTCCAGGGTGAACTCCGATTCAACCCTCCGCGCTTGCCTTCCTCCTAGAAGCACGGAAATCACGATGCCTCGGAAAGGAGTATTGAGGCAGCTTCACAACATCGAGTTACTCGTTGATTCTAGCGGGACCACAGCACTGAAACCACTCAACCTTGCCATCAATACGACCTCGTGACGTGCACAGTCGCATCCTTTGCCATCTCATGTCCACAATGCCCTACATGACTCCAACACCCACGGTCTGGTCAAGGGACCTCTCAAACACCCGACGAGCGAAAGCGCCAGAGGAGCCCTATACCATCCAGAAACTGGAATGTTACTGCTGCGCAAGCCCTGAATGCCCAAGTCCTGTCCCAGGTGCTGGTAGATGGAGTCCCAAGAGTTGGCACTGCTGACATTCTTCTCCGGGTCTGTTGCTGTCACCACCGGAGGTTCCTGCAGATGCACAGCTGCCATGGGCTCAGGCGCATACCCACTTGTGGTGGACTGCAAGGTCTCTAGGAATCAAGGTCGGGTCTCGTGTACAGCTTCGAGAGTTCAGTTGCCGGAGCTGGGAGAAGTTGGGGCTTTCCCCTACGATTTTGCGGCTTTGGCGTGATGCAGTCGGAGGTCTCTGTGGGTTCTACTTGACCTTTGGTCTCTCGCAAGGCCTGGCTATAGATCATACTACTCGTCGTCGTCGCAATCGTCGTCGTCGGGCGGCGGCGCAAGCGGTGGCAGTGGCGGTGGCCGTGGCGGCGGCGGCGGCGGGTGGTGAATATTCATAATCGCAATTGCTGTTCTTTTGACAGCAGCGGCTGGAGCACTACCTGTCATGGTCTTTGCCGTCGTCATTGGCATCATCTGAAACGATTTTAACTGACTCGGTCCGGGAGTAGACATGCCAAGTCTGACCTCTACCAAGGCCACAGCATGGTTTTTCTTTGATGCGACTTCACTGGCTGGTAAGCTCGGGTGTTCTTTGGCAAGTTGTGGCCCAGATGGGTATCGATTCAATCTGCTCAAATCCTGGAGGGGTTGGGAGAGCATGCAGCTCTCAATATCAGAAATACATTTGCCTGCAAAAGGCAACCCCGTAGCCGAGAACAAACCGAATGCTGACGAGATGCTCTGTCTCTGGTGGGTGAATGAGATGCTGTGCTAGGCTGGAACTTCATCCTGGCGAGCCAGGGTTCGGCAATTGGGAGTTTCCGAAAATTGGGGGTACCCTCGTTGGGGGTCCTTATAATAAGGATCCTACTAGGTACTGTATTAGGGTCCCCTATTTTCGGAAACCCCCAATTGGTCAGCAGAAGAGGCCTTGTGGAACCACACGGTCAGCGAGTCTTGCTGCATCTAAGGTCTCGTATGGGTAGTTCTCTAAATTAGGGTCCTTTTTTGGGTCCCCCATCTAGTACGGCACCCTTAGAATATGGACCCTAAAAGGGACCCTAATTTAGACAACTACCCATGTGACTCAATAAGTCTCTGCTTTGCTGCTTCGATGTATCAGCTGCATGCTTCTCTTCTCCCGCGCTCGACAAAACGAAGACTTGTGACACGTACTATGACTTGTTACTGCAGCTTCCGGCTGAAATAGTTGCTCAAAAGAGCTAAGACTGGAACTTAAAACCCTCAATGCTTGGGATTGCTGACCCAAGGAATTGAAAGGGGCTTCTTTATTTAATAGGCCATCACGAACGAGAGTTGCAAGAAAAGCTTCTTAGACGATGCTGGTGGGCAACCTTTCAAAAGGGCCGCGCATCCTTTTTTTACAAGGTGTCCAGGCCATACTACAAGTATAGCTATAGCGCACTCCTGCTGAATGCTGGCTTTTGCCGAGCAGCCCCAACGGCAACGACTGTGCGCCGATTGACTCTGCCTCTGAGGAGAGGACCTGAAACTCTGAGATTCAGGGGATGTGCCCCAAACTCCATAATGGGTGCGGCGTTCACAAATTCAACGATCAGCCTTCCCTCACTAACATCGATCGATTCACGATGTCTCCACCGCAGCTCTCTTCCGGCAGTTGTAGATAGCAGTGTTGTGCTTCGCGGAACACTGGGAAAAGGTTGACAGAGCTCGAAGTAAAATCAGACTTTCACGGTTTGCAGTGGACTTTCGCATGACACCAAAATCAAAATCGTGACAGCGATGGGTTGAGGAACCTAGCGAACATTCAAAAGACTGCCGAACATGTGTCTGACTGTGGCCACGAGACATTTGACAGCCTCCTGGGAATGTCTGCATCTGTCCTGACAGTGACTTGGCGTTCATGTTCGGGCAGTAGTCGCCAGCAGGAACCAAAAAAGCTATTCCTCACTGGTGCTAGCTGCAGTCCCGTGCAGTCACGAACTATAACCTGTCGCCACAATCCACTCCGGCAGATATGATTCAATTGTAGACGGGTGGTCTTTCGAGCAGGTTCATGTATTGAGAGCGTGGGAGGGTGTATGATAATAGCTCACCTAGACTAGACTGACAAACACACAGACATTGGCTGTAACATGGAAGATAAGGGTGCGCAAACAATGTGCAAAGATGCAGGCACATCGTACACCACTGCAGCATCCGCGAAACAGCATGATGCTGCGGTGCTTTTGGGTTCTAAAAGGGATTAAGGGTTTGCAGTCCAGGTTGAGGTGTCAAGGTTTGCGGGTAACCTCCAACCCTAAAGCCCGGGTCGTGGTGGTGGTGGTGGTGGTGGTGGTGGTGGTGGTGGTGGTGGCGGTGGTGGCGGCCTGGTGGTGCGCGGCTCCATCAACATGCGCATCAGGTTCGTGGTCTCATGAGATGTATCAACCGATAATGCATCAACCTTGGCACCTTTGATGCCTGTAAAATCGGCATCGTGCCAAGTAGCCATTTCGAGGCTACGATGCCGTTTCTTGCACGACTGAGCAAAGCGAGCTTTACGTCATCTGAAAACATCAAGACTTGGGTGTCGTGGTTTTATCGAAGGGCTGTTTAGCTTGCCCCCGACCTGTATGAGCAAGCCAAAGTTGTGTCGACATCAATGCAACATGCGGATGTACTACGAGCAATTACGCTGGCAGGAACCGCAAACTTAGCAGTCGATGTACTGCAAGAGGAAACAAGCCGCGAGTTCTTTCGGTGCGACATTGACTCGGATGAATGCCTCCGCTGACTTGTAGGTATCCCAGGGTCACAACATGCACATGAACACGCTCCTGACATGACGGATGCCCCGGGCTCCAAAGGAGTTTTTGAATGCCAGCTCATCCTTGAGCGTCTCCTGGAGCTGAAATTGTCGGGGTCGGCGGCATGGGTTTCTGCAGTGTATGGCGAAGTACGCATTAGATGAAGGATCTGGAAACCAAGAATGAGAGAACCGGGATCTCCCGTTTCCTGTCTAGACGTGCACCAAAATCAAGAATCAGCCAAAACCAAAAGCATCTGCTCGTCACGAAGCCCCGACTAGCCTGAGAGCACATGTGCATAAGCCACGGAGGCATGACTAGGATCTCAACAGGTGCTTGCAAACGACGACTCGGTACTCATAAATTGAAGGATGTCCTTGACTGTGGATATCATCTGCAATCCCACGTCCCGAAGGAGAGCATTCTGCTTGGCGAACTCAACCTGTCAAGCAGACCATGTCGTCGTAAGCTCGGTCTTGAGCTTGTTAGCACCGGGACATTCATGGCTGTTGGTTTGAGACATACGGCTCAGGGTTTATAGCAAAACCTACTTTCTGACAAATTGAGGATTGCGGCTTGCCGCTGGGTCGATGTTTTCGTGCGATACTACTTAGCAGAGCAAGCCCTCTCTCTATTTTCTTTCATTGGGCATAGGGGACGGGTAAAGTCCCCTGGCCTTGTGGCCCCCCATGGGTTATGGGGCTTTGGGGGCAAGTTCGGTATGATCTCTCTCTCTCTCTCTCTTCTTGCACCGGGCTTAGGGAACTGTTGAGGTGCCCCGGCCTGTTGGCCCCCCATGTGTTATGGGGCTTTGAGGAGACGTGAGAAACGGCAGGTGGGACATCGGGTTTCAGGAAGTTTGTGATTACAGTGCACAGTTCCCTATGTTCCCCTGTTGTGACTCTTTGACTTTGGAACACCTGCTCCTGAATTACTGTATCAGCTTCATGCCAGGGAGTCAAGACCAAGTAGCAGGCAACCTACAACGGGTAAATTAAAAAAACATGATTCACGTCTGCTCCCCCGCCATGGTCTTTTTAAATGCGGTTTTTGACACATGTGCTGGTTCCTCCTTGTTCTCTCTCTCTCTCTCTCTGCCTCTCTTTCTTTCGCCAGGGCTAGGGACAAGAGGGTTGCCCNNNNCTCTCTCTCTCGCTCTCGCTCTCTCCACACCTATGTACAACTCCGATGAGCGGCGGCTCTCCTTACTCTCCATAGCTGGCCTATGCCCGTCGGATTTCGAGAGCTACAGTCTTTCGGACCTGACAGTTTCCCACCACCCTCTCTCCGTCTCGAACATGACGAAGAGACAACTTCCAAATACTTCCAAGCACAGGACATCGGACTGGATGGTTAGAAAACGAGAAGAAGTACCACTAGCTAAGAAGATCGCGAAATCGCCCTGCACGCTAAATTGGGGGGGGGGGGGGGGGGG